ATTTTGCATTTGCTCTGTACTCTGTTTTCTTTTATGTGTATGATTGCTTAATTGCAGGGGAATGGAGAGACCAGGCACTTAGAACTGAGGCGGCAGTAGACAGTCTTGCATGCAGTGTCACAGGGCTCCAGCTGCAGAAAGCAGATTTCACACAAAGATAAAAGCCTTTCTAGAGACAGGGCACAGTCCAAGTTGTTTTTAACTCAGAAGTGAAACTTCCCTGAAGGACAGTAACAAATTGATTAAAAATAATTAAAAGGAAGTGCCATTAGGGAAGGTTGAAAGAACCAAATCTGCTCAGATTAGAAAAAGATTAAGCAGACACAACAAATGCCTACAAATACTTAAATAGGTTGTTAGAAACTGCACGGGGATTTGTTTTCCTCCTGAGTCAACAGGACAATAAGAAATAACGGACTGCAGCAGAGACTGATTACTAAACACCAAATGACTCAATTTGTAACATTTGGCTTTACACCTGCTGCTGAGAGCTCCCAAGACTGAGGGGTCCTCAAAAATGGGCCTTGGTGCCTGCACAAAGGAGCGAACTGTTGAGGCTGGCTGATCACACTTTAGGAAGGGTCTCGAGAATAAAATATTCAATCTTTCTACAATGCATAAGAAAAAATCATGATGTGTAGATGTCCTTGTCAGATCAGATGATTCTGTGATCTGACTGCATGTGCGACTGCCACCCGGCAGTTTTACTGGGACAAAATAAGCCTTGAAAGGTTGAGGCAGTGTAGTAAATGCGCTCCTACACTTAACACTTCCTTCAACAAAGATCATTTCTTCAGCATAAAGTAAATGAGGTTGCTTAGCAAAGATTTTCATCTTGTCCAATATGGTTATTTTACGTTTAAAAATTGCCTCCTTATAAGCAATTATCTTACCTGACACTATAGAAGTGTCAAACTGTTTTTCCTAACATTTCTCTTTTGCATTTCAAAAGAAGCCAATCTATTCACAAATCTTATCTGTTGAGTGAGAGAGGAGATTGGAAAGTGTATTGATCTTATTGATGTCAAGTCCTTCTAGGGAATAAAAGTTTATTGCTTTCCTGTCTCTGATTATCTTTTTGTTAGCATGTGGATCACAGGCTGGGAAGCAGTACTCCATGAAAGAGACACTACAGATGTGAAAAGCTGAAGGAGACATGAGGGGAAGCGTGAAGAAGGAAGCTGGAAACTGAAGGTAAAATTTAAAATGCTACTTCAGTGGATTAAGAGTCCAGGGTTTGTGGAAGGTCATACAGCTTTCTAACTTTTAAACATGCAGGATTAACCTTGAAAAGGGTGGCATAAAACAGGCATGAATTTCATGACTTTACTTGTTTATTTTTCAGGGTAACATGCTGAAATATGTGAAGGTGCCTCCATTCCCACTGAGAGGAATCTAGGTACCTTTCAAAAGCTGTATTTCAGGAAATAGGAAGATATAATTGGAAAGCACTTACAGAAAAGTTCTAAACAATGGAATTGCTCCACTGGCTAAACATTTCCAGCCAAGTAATTCAGCCCCAAACCTTCTCTATGGTTCTATTGAGTTTTAGGTCAGGATCTTATTTTCAGATTTAAGGAGGGTGCAAAGAAAACTTCCTGCATTCAATGATCTTGGAAAACCATCAAAACAGATACAAAGGTCCCAAACAGCCATCTATAAGTCCTCATGTTGTACATATGACTGCATGCGGAACATCTAGACAGCATAATAAAGATTTTACATTGTAGATAGAAGGTGAGGTCCTGACTTTTTGAAACTGGAAATTTGACGCTGAACTCAGCAGTATCAGACCCAAAACTTGGTGTCTAAATTGAATTTCAGAAGAGCTAAGAACCTAACAGTCAGCTCAAAATTTGTATGCTTAGCATTTTTAATATTAATCCAGTAGTTTACATCATTAAGTTTAAGGAATGACTACTTAAAATCACCACCCAAAAAATTCAGCCCCAAAATTGTCTGAATTACAGACAACCCTTTCTTATATCAACTCTCTATCTCAGGACACAGTTGGAGAGAGGAGATATGTAAGTCTAGATTTTTAATTTAATTAATTGTGTAGATGTATCTCCTAATAAAGCAAACTTTCATTTCCATGACCTTGCTGTGGATGCAGAAGATCTTTCGAATTGTTGTTGACTTGAGAATAGAATAGTCTCCTATCTCCGTTCTCTTGTGGAGACACAGCCTCCAGTGGGTTTTTACCATGAGTCCACTCTTACGGGCTTAAAAGGTAAAGGATGGGGAGTAGACCTATGAGTGAATCAGGCTCCACTAAGTAAATGGTGGCTCACACAAAGTTTAAAATGCATATCTATATCCTACCCCAATTACTAAAACTTTTCATTCACTCTCAGAAATTGAAATGCTGCATCTTTTTTATTTTTTACCATCCAGAAGTATTATTTCTGTTGATCTGGCTAGCTTAAGCAGGAATGCCCTTTTCATGGACTATAAAACTTACTGTATAAAACGTATCAGAAATGGTTTGAGAAATCCACATATGAAATTGCCATGTGAATGCTTAGAGATGGTTTATACATATGAATATTAAAACCACAGTGCTTCTCATAGGCATGCCCTGTAGTAACTTTCCAATCAACATTTGCCCCCAGAGTAGCACAAACCTCTTTGCAGAAGGAAATACTTATCACATCTCAGATACCTACTCTACTGTATGGCAAACACTGATCAGTGCTAACTTCTATCCACTTTGTCAATACATGAAACAAAGAGGCAAAAAGTGATATGGGACAATAGGTTCTTAGGATTGTTTACAGCAGCTTAAGTATGTCTGTCATTTTAGGTGTTCAAGCATTTACTCAAACTTGGTATTTCACAGCCTTTAAACACAGGTGATATATATATATATATATATGCATATATATATTTTAGAAAACACAAACTGAATGTACTCTTCCTGTTACTGAAATTGTGTCTGCAGCATTAATTCTAGCTTTTGTAGTGTTGTCTAGGAATATCTGGGAACTGAGGATAGCAAATATTTTTGTTTCCATGGCAAGTGTTTTGTCAAAGTCATATCCTAAAAGTCTAACAATATGGTTGCCCTTAAAAAATAATGACCATCAATTTGTATTAATTTCAGGTCTCAGTTTACCATATCATTTCTTAAGGAAAAAGAACCGCTCAGGACATTAGTGAAAAAAGCTGGCTAAATATCAAACAAAATCCAACAGCTAAAATCCAGGTTGCTGCAGGGACAGCATAAAAAATCAGACCATCTGCAGCAGTCATGGTGGAAAATCATTTAGCAGTGAGTATATGCTTTTGGCTTCTCTTATTAGATAACTGATAACTGAGTTCTGAATGATTCACATCCAGTCATGTAAATGACGTATGGACCCAAAAGTACAGGGATTGGCAGGGTCTTTTGTAAAATGTGCCCTTGGAGAAAATTATGATAACTTGTGGATAGCTTTCACAATACTAAATGACATACGCTGCCAAAGCTATTTTCATGTTTATTTCTGATATCTTTTACTCTTCTCCTATTTCCTCTGAACTACCCATAAATCCTCTCAATCACACAAAGACAGATGGTGCCAGGAGATTGGAGGAATGTGAGCTAAACGTGACAAAAAGACAGGTATATTATATATAGCCATAGTAGAGCAGTAGAGTAGTTTTGCCCAGTTCCTAATCTGACCTAACTTCTATTCTTCTCTATTATTTTATTAATTTATACCCTTTCTTTAAGTAAAGCTAATTTTTATGTTCTGAGACTCAGACTTTCCTTGTGGTTTGATCTCTGCCCTTTATCTCAGGCATTAGAAGGAAGCTAGAATCACAGTTCTAATCTAAATTTAAGAGGATAAAGAGACAACTGTTAGCTGTTCCACACAGAGAATATCTATTGCAGATAAGCTAAATCTTCAAAGGAAAATCTTGTAAACCCTAACCCACTGGTGGGTAGAATACAGCTTCAGGCTCATGTTTAAGAGAGAAGCTGATGTTGATTAACAATGCAAGCCTGCTTTAGTCCAGATTACCCTTTCACGTGTTTTGGGTCTTCAGCTGAACTTCATCATGCATTGTAGCACAAGTCCTATTTACACTTGGAATTCCTATCATCTTGGAGAACCAGGTGCCATAACATGACAGTTGTCAGATGCAGTCACTAGTCCAGGGTTACCCCTATGCAGTCAAGACTCAGCTATACATGGATTAAATGCCTGGACCATAACATATTGCTGCAAAAGCTGATGGCAAGAGCTGAATCCAGGAGTGTTTATATCTGGTTTACAGGTAAAGGCCAAATCTGATTTTTACTCCTATAGTATAATTGTATTGCCACTGAATTCCCCTAACAGGTCAGGGATTACAAAGGAGAAACAAAAGACATTGAAATTTCCAGTTTTAGTGTAAAGGACAAGATGAGATTTAATTTAAAAATCTGCATTTAGATTAAAGAATGCAATCTTTTGGCTAAAGATGTAACAAAGATTTATACTAATACCAGAGTAAGGAGAGAGTTAAGAATTAGTGTTAGGATAAAAGTCATCAGGAGTAGTGCTGGCATGAAGAGGGGTTTGTGAGACCTGTGAGCTGATCAGCATAGTGCCTTTGTTACAGTAATGCCATGGGTAAAGCACCCAGTTGCCTTTTAGAAATACTTCAACATCAGTAATCCAGAGACATAAGGAATAGTTCGCCCTTGCAGAGAGGGTCTTCATATGGCATTCTGGTCAACAAAGGTACATTGCATATCTTCAAAACAATAAGCCATGTGCCAACTAGTAAGCCATGTGCCATCTTTCAACATTATAATTCAATGGAAAGTCAATGTTTACATTTAACTGCACCATATAAACCCTCCCATTTCACTCACTGATATGATGAGTTAATTAAAGCTCCATGCTAGCAACCATGCCTTCACTGTCTAGAACAAGCATGAAAAAAGATCAAGCTAAAGCCCCAGAGTTTCAAAACAGATGGAGCACATGAGCATGCCTTTCAGCTTATCATTTTCGGATACGTACCCAGTAGAGTACATCTGTCCAGCCCTCCATCGTGATGCACTGAAACACGGTCAGCATGGCAAAAGCGAAATTGTCAAAGTTCGTAATGCCGTGCTTGGGTCCCTCCCAGCCTGCTTTGCATTCGGTGCCATTCTGACACTGCCGCCCATGTGCAGACTGGGGGGCACAGGGAGATGGATCATCTTCTGCGGGTGTATCTTAAAGGAAAGGAGGGAGAAAAAGGAGATGAAGAGAATTAATTGCGTTTTGACACACTGATAAGCAAGTGAAGGATATCTGATTTTAACAAATGTATTTTTCAGTGAATTTGACAGCTTTCTCTTGAAATACACATAGAACTATTAATTTTAATGGGCATAGGGATGTTTTGTTGTGCTTTTCTTTTCGTAAAGAAAAGAAAAAATGGCCATGTTGTCAAATTTTACAGTCAAACCTGAAATGTGTATTTTTTAAACACATCCTCCTAGGAGGAAGAAATAATGCCTTTCAACATGAGAGGGAACATTAGGTCAAATCTATTACATTTCTTTAGGCTGCATGTTATGACCAGTGTTTTCATATTGCAGTCACCTGGCCTCTGGGTTAATCTCAGAAAAGAACCGCAGCACTGACTGGCATTTTGTTGAAGAAGGCTGAACCCCTGCAGCAGACAGGCTTCAGTGCTCTGGAGATAGGATGATATGGTGCTGGGCACTGCTAAATTACAGCATGGAGTCTCTGGAGCTCTGCTCTTTTGGAGTTCAGAAGCTATGTGGCATTTTATCAATAGCCCAATGGCACTCAGAAGCTTTATAAGACTCTAATGCTCGATTATCCACTCTTTATTCTGTACAGGTGTTGCCAGAGATCTCAGAACCTGTCCAACAAGCCTGCCTAAATGCCTTGGTATAGGAAAAATGCTACAAAAATAAAATAAAATTCTTGTAAGCATAAAAGCTCCTGCAAGATTTTTTCTTTTTTTTTTTCAAATACAGACTTCAGAGTCTCATGCTACATCTATAACAGAAGCAGGTATCTATGTGTGGAGGAGCAAATAATTACATTTTTTTCTTATTCTATATGGCAAAAAAAAAAGAAAAGAAGTTTTCAAAAGTTCTGATCACCAAAGCATGTCAGCAATAGCCGTATTAGAATTAGATGCTGCTGTGTAATATTGACAGTATGGAGAAAGATATATACACTTTAAGGTTGTATAACAAGACTGACAATTCCTTACAGTTGTCACATTTCTAGAAAATGAAATTTGCCAACATTAGAAAAGCAGAAAATAGAGAACTTCTGAAGCAATTTCCTGTTGTACAATATTGTCTTGATTATGAGCACAACCAGGTCCTAATGTTGGTGCCCACCACCAGGGAATCATTGCTGCTCAATTTGAATAAATCAAATGAAAAAAAAGCAGATGGTTAGATGAGTGAGTGACAATACAAATTAACTACTTTGAAATTTGAATTATCATTTCTGTGAATAATTTCAAAGCTCTTTCCAGATAGATTGATGAAAAAAAGTTTCTTTCTATTAATATACTTTTGTTTTCTTATTAGCAGCACTCCTCAGGACAGTCACAGACTGCTTTAAAAAGATGGGTACAGGTCCTCAAGTAGATATTCCTTCATAATGATGCTGGTTTAAAACAGAGATGTGTTTGGGCACAGGATTAGTAATAAAATATAAGCATTGATCATTTCCATGATGCCATCTCATTTCCAGCTCAGTCTGCTAGTGGTGAAATCATTGTAATGTTATTGTTGCTTGAGACTGAGGCTGGCTTTTAGTGGCAAAGGGCCACATTAAAGAAACCACTACTGTGCTCAGCAGGAACTGATAGTTTTTCTTGTAGCCTTGACAGACCAGCCAAAAGCCGAGTGCTCAGGATGAGCAAGCTGAACTCTCACCGTTACAGACAGTCTCTCTACATCAAAGGTGATTCACATCCAAGGAGCAGAGCAGAAAAACCACTACTGTGAAACCCTGAACAGGTACCCAGCAGGGAGCAACAGCCACCCATCTTCTCTGCTAGCACAAATGCTCTGCTGTGCCTGGAGTCTCCCTCATAAAATCTTCATATGTTGCCAACATTCCTTTTCACCTATACACCTAAGCAAAGGGCATCTATGATCTTGCTGCTTCATCATGTTTTTAAAAATCTGGACCTGAGGGGTCTTCATCTGTCTTTGTCTGCCTTTGAGCAGAGCACCTCCAGTTTCTGCCATTGCTGCTGCAGTGCATCCCTCTCCGCACACTGGCATGAGTAAATGACAACGAGTCTCCAGCAGAGTGTCTGCATAATGCCTCAGTGTCTTCTGTTTCTACAGTACAGATGTGAGCCAAGAAAGCTGTTCAAATGGTTTTTCTTTCACTGAGAGGGATGAAGTTTGGGAGAATTGAGATTAAAGACAACGAATCAAGTATTCAAGCAATGAAGGAGCTAGTCTTGTGAGAAAGGACATTTCCATTCATCCTGGAGATTTCATTTTACTGCAGCAGGTAGATCAGCAGCACCAAAATACTTTTTCTCCCACTCCCTGCACTTAAGGATCCTAATAAGTGTTTGCTTCATACTTGGCTGCCATTTGCACTAGGACATACAGACTGTCAAATGGCTGCGTAAACCTTCCCTTCCGTCAGAACATCAACACCAGAAACTTGCTTCGTACTGCTGAAAGTCTTCACTTGAAAGATAGAAAGCAAAGGAATAGGGCTCCATATCACAGAGAATTCCCCTTACCTATCAGCCCCCCTTGCACGTGGTAGCAGGTCTTATGCATCTTTCCCATGAATAACTCCAGTCCAATGATAGCATAGATAATAATGACAAACAGCACCAGCAGGGCAATATGCAACAAAGGGACCATGGCCTTGATAATTGAGTTTAAAACCACCTGGAGACCTGCAGAGAGAACAGAAAGAAGCACTTATTAGCAAGAGAACTAAATTCAGAGGAAGTACCTAAAAGAGAATATAAGTTGCACGATAATGTCATTTCTAACTTGTTCCTCCTCACCTGAACTCATTTTCTTGATGATGCAAAGATGTACATTTACAGAGCATCTTCCCTCCAGAAGATTCCCAACACTTCACAAATTTATCCCTGAAGTCTGAATCACAGACTAAAGTAAAACTTGAATTACTTTCCCTGCCACTGTAATTCCACCACTCTGGAAAGGGAACACCTTAGCTGTTTTGCCTGTTCTTGACCTAAGGTGTTTCCCAGATGGTATTCGGGAGAGTTAAAGCATGGGGGAAAAAAAAAAAAAAAGAACAACCAGGACTGAAGCAGGACAAGAACAGTGAGACATGCAAGAGGGCAAATGGTGGATTGTCACAGAGCCCTGCCGCAGAGGATGGGAAGAGATGGGAAACCGAAGTCATGTCCCTGCTCTGATTTTAGGTTCTTCCAGAAGTGAAGCCAGTCTCAGGCAGAGTCTAAGCTGCTGAAACACCACCAAATCCATACTGACTGAGAGTTTGTGGCCATCGTGGGACCTCCCTACACTTCAAATCCACCTCATCTTACTTCAGTCTGAATGAAGGGAGAGTCAGAACCAGCAGTGCTGCTTTTGCCCCAGGATTTAGGTATCACTCTGTAACAAAGGTGGTCCAGGTCCCCAGCAAGGGGTATGAACAAAATGTTGTTATACAGATATCATTAACACATAAGTACTATTCACAATCAAGCCAAACATTTGCAGCATGGCCTCGTGACATGCAAGCAAGGTGACTCGTAGCCTGCTTTGATAAAGTGCTAAGCAGCTGCACTCTCAGATGCAGTTGACACAAGCTGCAGAGTCATGTGCCTCTCTGCCTCCTTTTTCTCGTTTGTACAACCAGAATAACAAAGCCAGCCTCAGAAGCTTTTAGTAAGGATTTGCATTTCCATTGCCTTAAAGTTATCATTGCTGGCGGCAGTGATGGCAACCACTGTCATTGGCAAATTATTAATGTTGGAAATATCGAGAGACCTCTAGAACTCCATAGTCTGCAAATAGCCAGATCAGAACAATTACAAGATCATGATTTTGCAATGACTGAGAGCCAGAAGCCATTAATGTCTCCTGCAAATGCTGTCATCTCCTCAGAGAAGTTGATATTAGCTATGATTTTTGAAAAATGTGATTCATGAGTTGGAAATGTCTGTTATACATCTGCCAAGAGAGTATGTGATAACAATTAACTTTTAAAATCTATCATCTAAGATCTTAGATTCCGTCTCTCTCTCTCTCTTTTTTCTTTTTAAATAATTTTAATATTTTCTAATAAGAACGACACATCTCTTGACAAGCATGTTTACTCACAGGCAATCCGCTCGTCAGCTCACAGCTAAGGCTGAGTCTTTGTGTTTGGTCCCCAGCCATGATGGAACTCAACAGAAGCAATCAAGGGTGGTGTCAGCTCCCAGGCAAGCAAGATCATTCACTGCCTGCCAGTAATCCAAAGTGGGCTACTAGCTTCCTCCAGTCAGAACGTTTTTCAGGTGTCTGCAGTCAGTGCATCTACCTGTTAACGGGTCATGCTAACATCCAAGGGGAGCAATACTCTACATGAAATATTCTGGATTTCACAAAGAGATCCTTACATGAAGTACAATACTGACAGGATCAAAACTCATCCTATACGAGAAAAGGATGCTCTGCTTGCTCAGTTACCTCAGGGAACTTACTTTGAATAGGTAATATCACTAGGAAAAAATATTGCTGTGATTACATGAAGCAGTCAACCTTTTCCCCTAGCTGCTCACCTCATTCAGCCTATTAATTCTAAATATATACAGAAAATGAACTGCAGTGCACGTCAACATTTCTTCAATACTTTACATTAGTAGAAAATGTGATGTTCACCAGAAAGTTAAAGCAACATCCCACCTTCCCCCCAGACAATGAAAAACAATACAAGGAAGTTAAAATAATGCAGATGACTATGAACCTGCAAAAAACAACAACCAAACTCTGAAGATTAAAATATTTGAGTCTTCAAATAAATCTGCACAAAAGCACAGAAAGGCCTTCATTTTTAGTGATTTTAGGAACCTTGCTAATCTAAAACATAGCCAAGATTGCAAGGTCAAGAGTCCTAATACCAGGTCTTACGTAATTTACTCTTAATTATTTTACTTAATTGATTTAATATTCATTATAGGATATACCCAGGGCTCTTGGGAGGGTAGCGAGGACAGATACAATGATGAACAAAAACCTCTCTCATTTTAAATATAGCTTCATTATTGCTCATGCCATGAAAGTGCTTCATCGTACTACAGATGTCCAGAGAAGATAATATCTGTACAAACCAATGCCCTTTCTGTTAACACAGCAGTGCCTGTGAAATCAAAGGCTTGCACCAAAAGCATGAGAAGACAAGGAGTTCATACAGCCAAGGGAACATGCACCACCAGAAGATTTACAGGTGCTTCAGCTAGACTAATTAAAGAAAAGCTTCTTGAGGAAAATAAATCAACCTTGTAGAAGAGATGAGCTACTGAACACTGTTAGCATGAATTGATGTGTGTGCTGTGCAGCACCCGATTCAGGTACTATGGCTTCAAATCCAGATAATTCCAGTAATTAGCAAGCACACATATATTACCGTTAAAGCATTCAGAGAGCTTCATTAACTTAAAACCACTAGCTGTGTAGCAGCTTTGGAAACCATAGAATGACCTCTCAGATGTACCAAATTCTACTTGTAGAAGGACAATGGATAGATGCGCATGACCTTGCTCGCTGCATTGTTGTCAATGTAGTTGCTGCAATGTAGTTGCTGCAAGTAAGGTGCTTTGTAACTCTCAGTTCAGGCAGCCACTTGCAACATGAATAGCTGTTGCAGAGAATGGCACAAGGAACTGGGCCTGGACAACCAGAAAACTCTGTGTAGTGGCGAGGGGGGACAACAGGGAGAGCAGATGAAGGAGGATGAAAGCACCAGGGAAAGAGCCATAGGCAGGCAGAACAGAAAAACTTTTTCTTTCTTTCTTTTTTTTTTTTTTTTTTTTTTTAAATAAAAAACAGGCACTTCAAAACACAACAAAACTGTGTTCTGGAAACTGAGAGGTGCAGATCAGTGTCTGAACTGAGCTGCAGATATGTGGCTGATCAGACGCATTTCTGATCAGGGTAAATCAAGGTGAATCATCCTCTTACACAGAGTCACAAAGCCTTTTCTAAACAATGATGAGAACTTCTGCACACATCTATATGCTTTTTCCCTTTGCGGAGGAAGAAAAGACAGCTGAACTCACTAAGCAATGACTTCTCTGTTCCAACCCATGCATGCTCTTAGTCTTTGCACACTGCAACACATAGTTTGCAACCAACATTGGTGCTCGTGGCAACACAGTTCCCATGGCCTGATGCTCTCCATAATAAACAATGACACACCTTCTGCACTTTATCCCTTGTGGAGGTAATGCTGGCACTCCTAGGAATGAGCTGTGCAGCTTATAATCATAATTAAATCAGAATGCCTGGTGACCTGCTCAGACCCAAAACCTGCCCTCTGGATTTCAAGTAGATGATGCCAATAGCCACCTTCCCACAGCAGAGCGAAGGGCTATGTTTCCACACTGCTTCACAAAGGCTGGCAGCGCTATCGCTGGCCAGTCATAAACACAGAGCCCTGAACTTATGTCCTGGCAAGTAAATATAGAAAGAAATGTTTTTCAAATATTTGGCATTCTGAATGTACTTATTCATTTGTGGAAGCTCTCTCCATGTGCTAGACACTTTCCAGACATCTGAGAAGGCACAGGATCTGCCTTGGGAAGCTCACTCTGGGCTGGACAAAGAGATAACTGAGCAGGGGTTAGGGAAAGCACCACAAAAGGGATTGCTTGTCGTTTTTCAGCCCACGCTTTTCTTCTGTTAATAATTGAAGATCTGAAACAGCTCTTAGTATTTATTTTAAAAGCACTTTAGTTTACCTTTAAAAAAAAAAAGCCTTCTTGGCTGCAATCTGTTGGCTGACATTGACTCCATAAATGTTTCAGTAAGCCAAACATGTTAATGCCATTCCCTGGGCTCACAGAATTTAGCATTTATTTACCCTGATAAAATGTTTTAAATATTTATTACATAGGAACGGCATTGCTTTTTATGCCAGGTCAAGCCCTTTTCAGCCTCTCAAGGGCTGTGTCAACCCAAAAGTTTAGAGCACAGCTAGGGAGTAGGGAGGATGGGGAAGAGCGAAGGAAATGAACTTGTACCAAGCAACATAGATCTTTCTCAGAGCTATGGGAAATACACTGGCAGGGATGCTGCAGGGGTTTAGAACTATTGTATGGTGCTGTATTTTTCTCTCAGGAAGACAATCATGTGAGAGGCTGGTTGGTGTCTTGTCAATTCAGGCAGTTATTGAAGAATGCACTTATCTGTAAGCACGTAGCTGTTTGCACCTAAAGCAATGGGATTGCCTACATACCCCGTTGTGTACTTACAAGCTTTTTTGGATTTTGACCAATGCTCAGCAAGATGGCACAAAAAAGTGCACTGGACCCAGCTGCTAAAATGTACTTGGCATTGTTGCGCTGTGGAACATATCCAAGGAAACTAATGGTAGGCTGGTCTCAGAAAAAACAATTGGGCCTTTCCAAGCACAGCTCTATCTTGCATTTTCACGTGCCTTTAATTTTGGCTGAAACTTGGTTTGCTGGAGAGGGTGGTTTCTTCTTCTAGTCATATTAGCAGTTCAGATCTTCGGAGAAAGCATATTCTGAGTCTGCTCCTTCTTTGGTTTTGAGGGGTTATATTTTGTCAACACTATAATGTTGCTTGACCAAGGAGTACAAGCAGAGTCTCATACACATGACCTTCTGTGAATGAGCAGGAATAAAAGGGAAAGGAGAGGACTTTCAACTCTATCCATCCCTCCCCTCCGTCCTGAGACACACACTCAGAT